ATTGCGATCCAAATGAAGGAGATTCACTAAGGGGATCTTTCCTTAGGTTAGTTTCATCATACATATAAAGTAGAAGAAGTTATCCTATCATGTCAAAATCATATTTGGCTGACACCCTCAAATCGAGTAGCCATAAAACTTTGTGGTAGTTCCCCAAGCGACATCATAGGAGAAAACCAGGAAAATGCGTACTCGTCAAAGTCAACTATTACACTCACTCGTATACTATGCGCTCCTTAATTCACGAAGAACTAGATTTCAGCAAAACACGCGAAAACGGGGTCGGACTCGTAGTGATTGATCGCAAGCAAGCGAATACTGTATCGCTCCTCTGCACCGCCGCCACGACCGCGGCCGCCGTCGTCGTCGCCGCCGTCATCATCGCCGTCTATGCTAAACTATGCGCTGCACTCGAACTGATTACGGTATCTGGTGTGAAATCACGTCATTATCGCTGGCAAATGAATTTCTCAACCAGTTCGTGCACGTAGGACCTTCCGTGAACTATTTCTTCATCCTTAGAGGCTATTCTTGGGTTCTGTAACTTGGACGGTTGTGTTCCTTTGGCTCCAGAAAAAGTTGGCTGGGTTACAACTAGGGTATACTAAAAGGCAAACGAAGGTATGTCACCTACCTATACATACACTGGTCGCAGTTGTAACTCTCAACGGACTTCTCCTTTCGTTCCGGCACGTGTCTAGCGATGTGCTTCTCGAGCATGGCTGGACTCTTCGAGACGTGACGGCAGAATGGGCATTTTCGAGAGCCTGCAACAGCGCTGTGAGTCGAGCTCTTGGTTTCAGGACAAGGGAGGTTGGGTAGGACTTTGGATGGACAATTCACGATGTCGTATAAGAAAATAATAATGGAAAATTGACAAGATTTGCATAGAAATGGCACGAAAACATCGGCGGTCCATTAAAAACGGCCGAATTTTGCATAAATCTAATGGTGACTCTTTTCGGAAATGTACATTACATTATAGAACATTAGCCCTGGAAGAATTGTGACTAAGTGGCTTTTTTATGAAAATCTTGCACGCGACCACGCAAGCTTGCCCCTTTGAAGCTCTTTGGAAAGGAAGGAGCTAAGCGACAGTAGGCGCTATCGCAAAATCTGGGGGCATTATTTTGGCAACGCATTCTAAACCACATAAAATACCTGATATCTGTAAAAAACGGGACTAGGCCTCGAGTCGGATAAGAGAAAATCCAGGTGCATTTTATAGGAACTCTTGCGATATGTGACCTATTACAATCGAGTATCCAGTTTTCGCTGAAGCGCTCCTGTGAAGCCAAAAAAATGGCCGGGCGCTAATTGTCAATATAAGGAGGGCACTGTTGATAAGGTAACCATTGAACTGCCGTGAAACATGGCTTCCTTGCTGAAAACAGCCGGGACCTAAGGCTGGGAGGCGGGCAGGCATATACTCCAAAGGCGTTGTAGGAGCATTGTTGCATTCTCCCTCAAGAGTGACTGCCAGCCCCTCCACAAGGGCTGTGTCGCTGAACACCGATGATGACCCCTTATATCGCAGATAAGTGCCACAGAAGATATTCACCCAGGGATTTTCTACTCCGACTTGCGCTATCGCCTACCCATTGCTATTGAATACTTGACTTACCCAGGTCAATGCTGTCTGGAAGTGGTATATGATGTCTGTAGTACTTATGAAAGTGGATGTATCGTGCTTCTCGTGTCGAGAACTGACAGCCGGACTCGGGCGCATCGTGGAATTTGTTGGTTATTTGATATGTTGAGGAAATGCAACATTTACTAGTACTGTTGGTATAGTCAGACCTGATTGGGCGGCGGCTGCGGTGATAGATAGTCACAGATTGCATAGACACCGAATTGATCAATTCGCTTCCATAGATCTTTCGGCATACTGTACACATAAAACCGTTGTCGACTTTCTCGATGTACTTCTTGTTTCGACACCATCCTGTAAAATCGTTGGTAATTCCACGGGGAAATAAATGTCTCGGAGGCGGGACGGTTGCGCCGAGCTGTGTTGTCTGGTCATATGGAAATGTTGCTCTCGCGCTATGGACGTCGGTTTTCTTTTCATGATTGGCGCCGCGCCATTCGACGAGTGACATTTTGTACGCGCTTGGATCAGTAGAACGAAGAAAAGAAACAATGCTGACTAAGTTGGTCAGCCGGCGCTCAACAACAGGTTACGGTGAAATTGGACGAAAAGGCTAGTGAGCCAAATGGGAAAGTATGGGAAAACAGGCCATGAGACGAACCTTCTTTGTCGTCATTTGGCACGATTTTCTCGCTAAATATCGTCGGAGTGTTACGTGGTGATGACAAGTCGTCGGTAAGAGCTCTGAAATTGGCTTTTCCGGTAGATGATTCAGTTCAGAGCAGAATTGCCTGTTGGCCTGAGGAACGGGTCGATTCATTACCTGTTGTCGTCTACTGGAGGAGTCGGTGGAGTCAGCAACGAAGTCGTCTGGCAGGGTATTACACTGGCCCCAAATGTCGAAGCCAACAAACCGGGCTGCATGTACAGCGCCAGCAATGTGTGAAGGTACGTCTGCCCTGGAACGATACCATCATAGTACCCCTAATGAAGTCAAAAGCCAAGGATCCTTACAAGGCGGGGTCGAGGCGATCGTCGGGAATTTATGTTGTGGCAAAAGGGCCGAGAAAGGATTCAAGTCCTGGCTTGTTGCCAACAGTTTGCTTTCTATCGTCGGCACCTGGCAGTGCCGGGCGACCGCGAGAATCTGAAACAGAAGCATTCATCCGATAGATTTTTGTTTTCATTGGTGACGTTCATCGATGAAGTCAAACCATTCAACCAACCTCGGCATGATCGGCTAACGAGAAGTTCAGCTCGCCAGTGTACAGCCCACTCAGCATCGCTTTGAAGGCGTTGATTGAATTCGGAATTTCTCTCAGATCGATATCTATCTTTGCCATGGAGTCTTCAGGCTGACCGGTAGCAAGAAGGTTCCGAAACCGAGCCGAAGCTGATGATAATACCAGTCTATGGGCCAGCACAGGCTCGTCTGAAAAGCGGCAGTGGTAAATAGAAAAATGGAATTTTGACGGTAATGGAGCTGACCGATATCGTTTCCTTCTTTACTGCTACGGACGTTGATGCATGCATCGAAGTCAAAATTGAATCCGAAATTCCCTAGAAAGTTGTCCGTCTGAAGCGGCATCTGAAAAAGGTCAAGCGATAATAGGCGAAGGAGGAGGAGGAGGAAGGAGGAAGAGGAGGAAAAAGGACGATGAAATGAGTTGAAGATATTTTTGTGAGGGTTAGGACATCTCGATGTGTTGGTCGGAATGTCTCAGAGTGTGTGTATGTGCTGCGTTTATCGGGAGTGCAATGGTGTGTGGATTCGCGGAAGTTCAGAAAATGTAAAAAGTGAACGGATATCTAATGAACATAAGAATCGAGTTCTTGTTAGATTTCAAACGGTTCGGCGAGAATTATCAGGGACATCAGATCAGAGCGCTGCAAACAAACACACGTTCATCTATCAGCCGTTGCCGAAAGCGGAACACTTTGAACTTCCACAATGATTCTTCTCAGAAGGTCAAACCCCTACCGCCGTCATCGCCACATCGTCTTCCGACTGACCCCGCTACCCTGCCCTGCTCCAGTTCCACTGAGCTCATCAACGTCTTATCAGCTATCACCTTGGTATAGAAATAATGAAGCCCCTCAAAAAGTCTAGGGTCACCAGCACTTTCACTTGATGGCGAACGGGAAAACGACGCTTTTTTGATGGGAAATTCAGATTTCTCCCGTGAGCTTCCGTAGTTGTCCGTCATTGATGCGGCCTCATTCATCAAGTTTTTGCTTCAAACTCTAAAAATTCCGTTGGAATCCCGAACTTGCTTCAGAGGGGAAGTCGTACGACTCGGCTCTCCAAGCTATGGAGATGAAATGTGACGAGTCTCAGGAATGGAATGTTCAAGTATAAACGATCTATGAAACAGCGGTAGTTAAAAAAGTCATCAGCTGGTATGGGAATGAATAAATGAAGAATGGAGAATGACTTAAATGAGAGCAGCACAACCCTGGGGGGCGTTCGGAGTGAATGGCAATGGACTGTGTTAACTAAATATATTGGGTAAAAGAGGGAACAGGTTACTGTGGCGAAGACGAAACAATTCGCGACCCGTGGCACGCACGAAAACAATTGGGTTGAGCGAGAAAAACAAGCACCTGAGGGACAGAATAGGCGGGACACTACACTAACCCGTATAGAGTGCACTTCTAGATTCTAGAATGCTCCCAGACCAGAAATGACGTACTGTTCGGCTGGGTCTGACCATCCTAGGCTGGAGAGATCGAGAACACGGAACATCCATGCGGAACGGGGCCTACCCAGAACAATGCGAAATGCTCTCGAAGACTATACCGTATTCGCCGACCGACATTTTCTCATAATCGATCTTCAGCAACAGCCTAATGGAATAGCATATACATAATTCATCGACGGCGAGAAGCTGGGGGAAAAGACTGTTGGGCACTACCGTAAACAGCACCCACCGCGCATTTCCCGATTAATTCCCGATTTCAGCGTCGAATAGCGAGCTGACAGGTCTGGCAGGCAATTTCTAGGAGAGGGTCAAGGGTCAGAGGGTAGGAAGGCTTGCGATGGCGTCCAGTGGCTATGTGTTGCTGCCGAGAATGATTTGTGGAGTGCGATGTTACCTTCGCTGCGGTCATTCTACCATGGCCTTTTGTGTTTGGAGCAGAAGAAGATGAGTCAGTACGCTTGCGCTCGGCACGCTCACAATCATCCATGGCATTCTTTCAAATCGTTTAAGCTGTTGCCTTTGCATTGTGGCGCCTCGCAACCGAAAATATAAATGAAATCAGTGGTCGAAGCCGCTCACAAATTCTGCTAGTAGAACAGGCGCTATCGCAATATACGGGGGCATCCTCTAGGAATAAGCCTAGTGGGAGGCAGGAACCCAGGCGAAAATGAGAATGGAGTCTCAAATGGAAAATGACAATACTGGATTCTCTCCCTCCCCACCTCAGGCTCAGTCCCTTTTTTAACGAAGGAACGTGGTTTACGCAATTTTAGATGGATCGCCACTCCGCCACCGTACTGCCCGTGTCCTGCGCCGTAGAACATTTTGTACTTCCTCTTGAGTACCCCTTTGATCGGTTGGGAGCAGAAAAGGGTTTCGGGCAAACTTCGCCCCAGGCAGGATCAAACTCGATTATTAATTCTTGTGATAATCTTTGCATGGCACACTGGAGGGCCAAAATAGGTGTTAACATCCAGAACAAGTCAAAATTGATATCTGCTAAGGCTTACAGCCCGCGCCTTCAGTTACCGCAATATCATCTACCAACTCCTATCGTTGCATGAGTGAGCGTTGAAAGGCTGGGCTAAGTATAGCATTCCTAACTGGTTGAGATGAAGCTGTGCCTCTGTGGTGTAATTGGTGACCCAACTTCCTGGAAGCCCCGAAGTCCGCCGGTCCGATTTCACACTGTAGAATAGTGTTGCCCATACATAACTTTGTGATCGTGTTTTTAATTTGCTTGCTTTTGCTACACGGCTCTACCTCACAGTTTGCAATGCGAACAGGAAAACTTTTTCTTTTTTTCCTTGCAAATGCTGGGTTCTGTGCAAAAACTTTGCCTTAGGTGGAAATCGAACCCTTGAAGTAGAGGCGTGTGGTTCGATTTCTGGCAGGGTGAACGTTATGCATTAAACACCCTTATTAATAAAAAAGTTGTATTATAAGCAAGTGATCTTGCGAATCATAAACATATGCCAGCTTCCATTAAAAATCAGCAGACTTTGAGTGAAAGTCAGTTTCACAAAATGGATCCAAATAGGGGGTGGCTTGGATCTTATCCTTCATCCTTTATGGAGCACATTTCAAAACCTACCATGAATTTTTTGAGGAAACAGTGAATTAAAGATTTATAAGAAGTTAAGGACCCCATGCAAAATGAACCTTACTTGGCCATGGGCCTCCTTTCGTCTGCTCCTTTGCTAATGGTCCTACACAAATAACTCATTGATTGCGATGGTATCTCAGTATACGACCGAAAATGAAAAAGGGGTTACTATGCAATCCTTACGAAAGTACAGTTCATGGCTCACTGAGTAGAGATAAGTCAATATAACTGGTTGATCT